CAAAGGTTGCTTGATTGTTGTGAATAAGTGGGACACAATTCCCAACAAAAACCAGTCCACTGCAACTATCTATGAGCAAGATGTTAGGGAGAAGCTTCGTCTTCTTGGTTGGGCACCAATTGTATATTCGACAGCAATAGCAGGGCATAGCGTTGAAAAGTATGCAATCTTGATAAAAATATTTTCATTCTACTTGAGATCATCCCGGAATTCTCTAATAAAATTCATGTTGTATTTTAACATGCTTTACTTTTCATGCTTCTGTGGATAAACAAAAGTTGCTTTTTGCATATGCAACACTATATGTACGAGTAGGGGCACCTGTAGTGAAGCTCATTAAGCCATTTGTTCCATTTTCCTCTATTGTTTTTCTGAAGCTAATAATTATTCCTATATCAGTACGGTACCGTAATAGCAATAAGAATCAATTATTTGATCATGCTACATCATTTGTTAGCTTTATTCATATAACATAGATATTACATTGTTGCTAATGATTGTTGACTTGTTCATATTTGCAATTTTAGTTTCATTGTGGGAAAGTAAATAAATCTTCATCATAATCATTACCCCAGTGCCGCAAAGGCTCCCACCTACGTTGGGGTAACGGGGTCGGATGTACGTAATCTTACCCCTGTACTAAAAGCACAGAGAGACTGTTTCCGGATGACCCATAGTGAACATCGCGTCCAAAATTGCTTGGACCGACCGCTGCTTCATAATAAAGAAGCGCAGACAGTTTAGTGAGTCATTTTGCTTTATTCCATCATATTCTCAAACCAAAAAATAGTGAGTCTTTGGCTCCATTGCAAACGATGGAAAGTGGGAAAGTAAATAAATGCATTACTGCCCAACTTATATCACTTGATATAAGCAGTAATGCAGTATTGTTGATATTTGGTTATTTCTTCGAGTAGTCCTTCACATTACAGCATTACTGCCCAACTTATATCACTTGATTTGGTCCAGAATCATTTCAACTGCTGAAGTAGTTGAAAAGGAGAGATCGAGAAGATTAACCACATCAATACTGAATCAAGTAGTACGAGAGGCAGTGGCTTTCAAATCACCTCCAAGGACTAGAGGTGGGAAGAGGGGTCGCGTATATTATTGCACTCAGGTACTCAATAGACCTTTAATAATCTCACTTTCAAACAGCCCTGTAGCAATTCCTTGTGCCTAATATTTTGTCATTGACAGAATATGCACTGAAAGTTGTTGTGCTAATATCTGCAGGCTGCTATTAGACCACCTACATTTGTTTTCTTTGTCAATGATGCAAAACTTTTCCCAGAGACATACCGACGGTACATGGAGAAACAGCTGAGATCAAATGCAGGGTTTTCAGGCACACCTATTCGGCTTTTATGGCGGAGCAGAAAGAAAATGGAAAAGGAAAATGGTTAGTTTTAAAAGGGTTTTTGATTGCCTCCAACTTAATCCTTGTTCCTTACCATTTTATGCATATTCATAGGCATTAATACAATGTCTATTTCGAAATTGTCCTCCATCATGAACCATATCTTTAAGAGTTCTTGTAACAAAAAGGTGTAAATATAAGGTGTATTCTTGTAGTAAGATTTTTGCAAAACATGTGTGCATTGTGAATTCTCAATATACACAATCTGCCTTTAAATGCTGAAATATGGCCAACTTATGTGGCGGGGGGGATATAGTGGGCACTTTGGTACTTTTCATATAGTGCCATTGCTTCAACTTTTGCGCTTGGGTAGATTGATATATGAGGTAATGGGCTCCATTTAGTTCCAAATATACAACAATGCAAAACAACATTGCTTTAGTACAGGAGTAAGGTAGTGTACATCTGACCACCCTTACCCCAATGTAGGGTCCCGCCTACGGTAAAGCACAATGAGACTGTTTTTAGACAAATCATGGACTGATTGGTGCTTTATAACAAAGAAGCGTGAACAGTTTAGTGAGCCAGTTTATATTATTCCATCATATTTCTGAGCCAAAAAATAGTGAGTTTTTAGCTCCATTTGAAATGATGGGAAATTAGTTTCAAATATAAGATTGCAAAAAATCTAATGATATTTTTTTTTGTTTTCAGACAAGGTTTCTTCCACCAAGACTAGAGAGACCTCCACATCGCTTGAAAGAAGGCTGGAAATCTCAGTGTGATCATGTGAACTGACAACTTAGGTGTCAATGCTGCCATTTTTTGAAAACAATTCTGTTGATGAAGACATGAAGTTAGAAACCTATTGGTGGCTGTAAGGAATAGCTTACACTAATTTCGGCAGTTGACAATGGTGAAACCATGATGTCTCATTTGTGTATGTAAACAGCTTATAGGTATAGTTTGTGCATAAAGTGCACACTCTTCATGTATATCGTACACTTGAAATTTCATTCTAAGTTTCTAACCAGATTTCTGAGCAACCTTTCAGATTCAATATTTTTTTTCAATTTTAAAATTTTAAGAATAAAATATTTTTCCGCCCTCTATTCTGGTAGCGATTTTAATTGTTGTACATGAATCATGTAGTGCCCCTGTTTAAAACTTTAAATACAATTCATGTGTACTGAAAGTTTTGAAGGAGAAAAAAGTGATAGGGGTGGGACGCTTGGTTGATCTTGTGCTTGGCATCTTCCTCGTGAAGCATCCCCTTCACGAGGGGTTGTCTATTTTGCTGTTCGGGCACCAAACCAGGATCATTGTCCGTATCAGTCACCTCGGCTAGTGACACCTCGTCAAGCACCATCCGGATCCACAGACGGAACCACTCAAGAACATAGGAAACATCAGGGACGAGGTGTGCACGCACCTCGGCCTATGCCACCTCATCTAACAGAAGACATCGGCTTAGGAGTCAGTTAAGGAATGACACGAGTCACGCTATGTAGCCCCATGGGGCTCTCGCCCATAAAATAATTTATACGTGTATGTGCATTTAATGTACCACTCATATATATATATATATATATATATATATATATATATATATATATATATATATATGTTTTGGTTCAAATAAGAACATGATCTTATGAGCAAAATGAGAATGAATCTGTACCGTTAGATTTGCTTTATGTGAAATTCAATGTGCATTAGATGAAGTTGGAATGTGTATTAGGTGAAATTGAAATGTGCAACACAAATGGTACAATGTAGTGGCATTATGTGAAGCTAAATTGTGCATTAGGTGAATTTGAAATGTGCACTAGATTAACTAAAATGTGCAGAATAAAAAGGTACGATGTGATGTTATTTTTGTATCTTTTATTCTGCACATTTCAATTTCACCTAATGCACATGTGAGTTTAAATTTTAATTCTGCACATTTCAATATCATCTAATGCACATTTCGGTTTCACCAAATGCACAATTCAGTTCCACATAATTCAATCCAACGGTTAAGATTCGTTCTCATTTCTCTCCTAAGATCCGTTCTTACCGGAACTGCTCCCTATATATATACATATATATACATACATATATATACATACATACATACATACATACATACATATATATATACATACATACATACATACATACATACATACATACATACATACATACATACATACATACATACATACATACATACATACATACATACATACATACATACATACATACATACATACACACACACACACACACATATATACACACACACACATAGGGGTGAGATCACATACAAACTAGTCCTCATGCTAACCTACAAACTATCACAAACTGTGCATCTTTACATTATTTGTACTGCATATTGAAGTTCAAAGTGTTGCGTAATATTTGTATTGCATATTGAAGTTCAAAGTGTTGCATATTATTGAGTTTGTAGGTTAGTATTTTAAGCATGGTTTGTATTTGATCTCTTATCTATACACACACACACACACACACATATATATATATATATATATATAGGAAAATATAAAATATATATATATGTGTGTGTGTGTGTGTGTGTGTGTGTGTGTGTGTGTTCAAAGTGTTTCAAATATTCAAGTCATAAAATAGCAGTTTCATATTTACATTATTTGTATTGCATACACACACACACACACACATACAGGTTTCGGATCAAATAAAAACCTTTCTTAATGTGAAAACTGAAAACCGTTCACTTTTATCCGAATGTGATGCACTTTAAGGGTGATATGTTGCACTTTTTGAATTTCAGTCTATATGGGCAATGTGATAAACCTAATAAGTAGGATTTCACTTTTCCCCTCAATGAATGTCATTGTGATAAACATTTTATTTTTGAGTAAAACATAAGAGGTTACAGAGTCGATAAATATATACCTGATTCATAAACCTTGAAAAAAATATCTAAAATATGATTTTCATTTTCATACACTTTCTTCTCTATTGACAATTGAGAACACCATAAAATTGCATATTTATTTATTTAAAAGTAAAAAAAAATAGAGAGTTCATAAAATTGACAATAGAGAGTTCATAAACCTCGAAAACATTTGTTATAGTCAATTTTAATTGACAATACTTCAAGTAGTTTATATTGGTCTGCTGCAGTGCTGAGTAGTACATATTCAAGTCTACCATACATACATCTAAAATGAGTACATTCCAATGGAGAGTTCATAAACCACCTTAAACGTATATATCAATCTTTGGATACATCATTCTTAATTTTCTTCAGAGTTAAATTATGGAATAATCTTAACTTCTATACTCCCGAGATTTTAACAATTGACCAAACAAATAAATTCATTTTTGAGCTGAATTAACAACAAAAAACAACCACTTACTAACCAATTCTGAAATAGGAAATGTCTTCTATCTAAGGTTTCAAGGTCTTTATCACATCAATACACATGTGATTGAGAAAATAACACTTAACAAACACTACATTGCCATCACGACGTCTAAATCATCCAGCTCTCTTGCATGACATTATGCAAATAAGGAAAATAAGGGGAAAAAACCTAAAGAATAAATTGATAAGTTCAAAAAAGACCTAATAAAGTCTTGAGCAAGACACCTAAAAAATCATATGCCTTTAAAAGTCAGCTAGAATCAATAGAAATGATAACACCACATTAATAGATAATCAATTACTACGTATATCTTATTCTATGCAAATGAACATTATGGCAATTGATTAAATATTAGATTAACTAATCCTTCATATAAATAGTACTTGAAACATACTGTTGGCAAAATCATCAACATTACATTCATTGCATCTAAATATATGTATCCATGGTGTTGATCCGAACTTAAGCAAATTGCATATGGCCTGCAAATCAAGAAAAATCATAATAAAGACATGATATGTATTGATAAGCAAAAATCAGATGCATTGATTGTTGCCTTTGATATCCTAGAGCTTATGAAATATGAATGATAGATCAGACCTCATCTTTTTTCCATATACTAAGAAATCTTCTTAAGAATTCAGATATATACACTGCAATGATAGGCAATTTCAGGTTAAAACAAAATTCATCACAAAGAAACTAAATACGTAGTATTATTGCATTCACAAAAAAATTTAACACTTAAACACTAAAAATATTGTATGTAAACCACTACTCCACTCTTCGGTTCCATCAAGTTCCTACTTCGGTCATTGCACTAACCATCCGATAAGACAAACACCATAGCTGGAAATCCCCACAACGTATAAACAGACCTCATAACAGAACAAAGAAACAGAGAATCAGCTTACTGGAGTAATCAATCCTTCGTAATCAATCCCACAGTCTGCAAGTTGCAGAGCCATCTTCTCTGTTTCTCTTTTTCTCAGCTTACCGCAGTCCGCCTGCTTTTCGCCGCCACTTGCGTCTCGCTGTGCCGCCTGCATCAATCCAGCAGCCAGCCTACTCTCCCCAGCTAGGCGGCCCAATCGAAATGCTGGCTGAGTTGGCGGCGCCGCCCACAGACCAAGACTCCGGCCTACTCCGACGACTCGTCTGCTGCCCTGCTCCAGCCTTAGGCCATCCACGTACTACCAATCGGAAATTACAATGTCTTGTAGAGGAGTTTATGGGATGGCATATAAAGTTGAACTTATTAACTGTCAAGCTTCCCATAATTAATGTCGGTCTCTTCTTTTGAGAGTTCCAATATACACTCTCCAATAAAGTTTTTCAGTCTTCCAATAAAGTTCTTCAAAGTTGTAATGCATAGCTCTTCGATTTCCAAAGCCTGATTACTTTGACCGGGTTGACCCGTTTTAGATCATTTTCTACCCGTATCTTTGGGCGGGAATTTGGCTAAATTTTCCAATCGCAAGAAGGTCAAGGCGTTGTTTTAAAATGAGGTGGCACGAAGGTCGTAGGAAACCCCCAATTTCTCTCTACAACCGCTCAAGCGACAGAGTATCTCCAGATTGCAATCACTTCTATGAAGTTCAACCGTCCAACAACGAAGATCGCAATACCTCCGACGAATTGCAACAGTACAACGACGAACATGGGCCAAATCAGGAAGACCAGGGACGCTAGGTTATTTCTCGATTTTAGAATGAGGTATGTCATACCTAATTTAATCGATTAGTTTATTTAATCATCATACGACGGCTAGTAACGGATTGTAATGATACTCCATCCACAAACCAGACCAGAAAAGTGAAGGTAAGGTTTAAATCTGATTTCTTGGTTTTAGGTTTAGTTTTACTTTACATCGGATTTATTGCTAAGAAATCCTTTGAATATGAAGGCCTGTCACCTTAAACTCACTAAAATTAGGTTGTATTTTCCTTGAAATTTGTTCACCTTTCGGATTTATTTTCACATCATATATGCCTATTTTTAGATTAAAGCAAAAGTTGTGATAAAATATCTAAGAGCTTGTGTTAAAAAACTTTAAACTTTAAATGAGAATTTTGATTCTGATTATTTTTATTATCTATAAGCAATAAATATATTTGTACTGTTATTATTTTGAACATAGGATACATTATAATAGTTCTGAACTAGCCAAATAATTTATGATATGGATTTCAATGACAACAGTGTCACTATTCCTCCTTCATATGACTGCACGAATTAAGAGTTATGGATTTTGTTTTAAAAGTTCATATTAGTTAATTAGAAGTTATAAGGTAAAAAGGCATCTTGATCATTATTTGAGAATTTTCAGGCATCCTATATACATACACAGGGGCGGAGCCAGGACACTATAAAGGGCTGGGCCGGATTTGAACTAAAAAAATTCTTAAATATAAGTGTAGTAATAAAATTAAGTTCAAGTGCATCACAAATGTTTTTACAACAAAACTACTAGAAATTTAGTGCATCAAACATTCAAACTAAAAAGTCAATTGCACTCTACGGTCTTTTACTTTAGCAAACTCATCGATAAGAGAGTCAATATCTATTGTACTGACAAGTTCCCTCTCAATGAAGATTGTCAAACTATCAGCAAGAAATTCATCAGCCATTTTGTTGCGAATTGCCGTCTTGACATGTTTCATTGCTGAAAATGCTCTCTCGGTTGTAGCTGTGGAAACCGGTAATGTTAACACAAGACGTATCAATCTTGTCAACATTTTGAAATCGTCTGCCTTTCTTGTTTTCACCAACATTTCACATAAATGCGAAAGAGTAGGAACTTGGAATTGAGAGTTCTGAGCCACATGAATATGATAAAATGTCAGTTCACTCTTTAAAGCATTTCTCTCGTGTTGCTCAAAATCATCAGGATAAAACTCCACTGCAAGATTATAAATATGATCAGCATTAAATGATTCAAAGGAGTTTCTCGGATCCAATGCCACACTGAGCTCAAGTAGTCTAACTGATTTCTCACAAAATCTTGAATTCAACTCCGCCACTTGATAATCTATGGATTGGGTAAAATATTCAAAGCGGTAATAATGTTCAAGATCTACCTCACTCCGCCCACGCCGCATTTTGGTCTTCATGTCTGGGATAGTGATGTTATGTTTTAAACAAAACTCTTCCACTTGTTTCAACAGATTATCCCATCCATCATCCCTTAGACTTTGAAGAAGGGTTTTGGATGTTGAAACATACCCTATTGCTGATAAAATGTCAACTGACTCCTTTTGAAATGCTTGACAAAGAAAATCAGTTATAGCCATAATAGCTTTCATTAAGTGCAAGCCAAAGACAAAATTAAAACTCTTCAAGCTAGTGCAAGCTCCATCTGCTTCGTTTCGAGCCTTAGGGTTCGGCCCATCACAAGCAATATTCTCAAGTACCTTACAAGTAGCATTGTACAATTCTATCATACTAAGAACAGAATCATAATGAGAGCTCCAACGAGTTGTACCTGAACGTTGTAAAGAGGACATTTGATTGGCTCCTCGTCCAGATTCACGCTCCCCACTTGCCAACAGAATGTCAATTTCTTCTCTATGAGTAACTTGTAATTCTGTGTTGCGCTTAGCAGAAGATTTGACAATGTTAATCACTTTATCCAAAATGGAAAAAAATCTCCAAATAGGATCACACTGTTTTGCTGAAGCCACCAATGTCAATTGCAACCTGTGAGCAAAACAATGCACATAGTATGCATAAGGACAATCATTCAGAAATAGTGCTTGCAATCCGTTCCATTGTCCACGCATATTACTAGCACCGTCATATCCTTGGCCTCGTAACTTATGGACTTGAAGATTGTAATGAGAAAGAACATCACAGATCTCATGCTTAAGTGTTTCTGAAGAAGTTTCAGCAACGCCTTTAATAGCAAAAAAACGTTCTGTTAAAATACCAGCAACATTCACAAATCTCAAAATTATGGCCATTTGCTCCCGGTCAGATTCATCCTTTGCTTCATCAACAAGAAGACAAAAACACGAATCTCCTATTTCTTCACGTATCATACGGCGAACTCTATTAGCCATTAAAGATAAAATTTCTTTCTGGATATCAGGTGAAGTGTATTTGGCATTTTTGGGAGCATTACCCAATACAACATCTCTGACTTCTTCATTCCACTTTGTTGTGTAAGTAATCAGTTCTATCATATTTCCACGGTTCAAAGATTTTTCAGACTCGTCATGACCTCTAAAAGCACAACCCTGTAACGCTAGCCACTGCACAGTCATGATTGATGTCTTTAATCTTAAACGGTTTTTTAAAACTTCTTCTTTGCTAACTCTCTCAATCACTTTATCAATATGCTGAGCTGGAGTCATTAGGGAAGTAGCATACGTCACACATTTATTATGATAAGAATAAGGTGATGTACCTGTGTGAAGAAAAAATACACATTCTTTGCCTTGATGAACTCTCTTCCAGCTATCAAATCCAATATGGACTAATGCAGAGGTATTGGAGGCATGGATGTTATCACAAAATAGAAAGCACGGAAAGCAATATGCTTTGTGCGTTGTCGGAGAATATTCCAACCAATTAAATTCATTGAACCAATTTGGTTGAAAACGTCGAATTTTGTCTTTATATTCTCGACCTTGATAGCGCTGAAGTTTTGGTTGGTAAGGCCCAGCAACCAAATATAACCGCCTAACTTCATCTCTATTATTAACAGGCCAATCACATATTTTTCTTCTTTTACCAGGATCCCGTTCTATTTCAATCACAGAAGAAGATGCTTGATTTTGAACATTAGAAGATTCTTCATGCTCATTCGAAATCGGGTTCTCAGTTTGTATACTTGTAGTTGGAGCATTGGAGGTAAAATAAGAATGCAGAGTTGATTTGCCTACTTTGGCTTTCTTGGGAGGTTGTTGTGGAGTGGTCATTATTTTCTATAACGTCAAAATATGTAATACTTTAGTAAATAATAGATAGTAAATTACGAATTACTGATTTAGGAACACAATTAACAATTTACTAATAAACAATATCCCAATTCCCAAATCCAACTAATTACAAATTAGTAACTATGAACTAATTAAAAATCATACATTCATACACAATAGCCCAAATAAGGAACTAATTACAAATTAGTAATTTATTAATATAAGAAATTAGGGTAAGATTGTAAGAAAAATACCTAAAAATTGCAGATTTTGTGGTCTTCTCTGGACAGCCGCGGAGGCGGAGAGCAGGCGGAGGCGGAGAGCAGGCGGAGAGCAGGCGGAAGGGCCTCTGGAGACTGGACAGCCGGAGAGCAGGCGGAGGCGGAGAGCAGGCGGAGAGGAGGCGGAGAGCAGGCGGAGAGCAGGCGGAGGCGGAGAGCAGGCGGAGAGCCGGAGGCGGAGGCGGTCTTCTCTGGACAGCCGCTTTTCAGCCGTAGTCCCTGGCGTCTGGCGAAGTGGTGGCCTGGCCGGAGTGGCCGATTCACGCAGGGTCGCAGGTCGCACTTACGATTTACGAAGGTCGGTTCTTCCAGTTGGCTGAACAAGTGAATAAAATTTGTATTTTGGGCTGGAGGTTTTAATGATACTGGGCCAAATTTTTTATACACTGGGCCATTACTTAAAAAAAAATTTTTTTTTACTATTCCTAATGGAGACTAGGCCGAATTGCACTGGGCCATGGCCCAGGGTGCCCCCCCCCCCCTCCTCCGCCAATGTACATACAACATAACCGAAATAGATTTTCTAGTCTAATTCCTACGTACAGAGTATAAGAGGATCATTCTCGCTATCTTTGCAGGTCACTATTTGACATTTTAAGAAATGTTGCTTTAGAAAGAGTGTTCTCAAACATTAGTTGTTTTTTATGCTACTAGTATTGTAAAAAAGTAGCAGAGGTTACTATTTTTTTCTTATAAAAGGTACACTTTTTATACTACATTTCAAATAATCTGAAGTGTAAGTTCTACTTAATGGACATGAGGAGGACTCCGACTCATAGCTATCTTCCTGTTTAATGCTATTTTTTCGGAATCAGTTAACTTTTAATGTTATGGTATTAAGACAAACAGCTCAAATATAGTTTAATTTTTTATTGCCTATATGTTTTTATAGATCTCTAATTTAGGGAGAATTGGAATGATGTCTTATGATCTATAATTTATTTTCTTTGCGTTCTGATTACATATAGAAAAGATAACTGTTTTGGTTGAGTTTTAGTTTCGTACAAAGATGTTAATTTCTTTGCCTTATAAAGTTTACATTAGAAGTTACAAAGTTTCATAGACAAAATTTCCTCTACTATAAAAGTTATAAAAGTTATAGAAGTTATGAAGTTTCAAAGATTTACATAGTTTTCTATTAGCTAATAATAGTATTAAAAGTTGCAGTCGCAAGAAGTCTCAAATTTTTTGCTTAAACAAGTTTTATAATTGATTTTGAGGTTTTCAGATGATGTGAACTACTCTGATAGTGTGTTGCACTGTTTTCTGTTTACCAACGGTGAGGACATCTATTTGCAAGTCCGAACACTCTTGCTGAACACGTTAATTTTATTTTTGTAATTCTTTTATGTGTCATTGTTTGTTTTATTCTGGAAGTTTTAATATTTGCAAAAAGTTATGAACTTTCACTTAGTAGTTACACATTTTATACTAGAAGTTATAAAGCATTAAGAATATATAACTTCCATTCATTAACTAATAATAATAATAAAAATAATAGTAGTTGTAGTAGTAGACTAGTAGTGATAGTTTTTGGAAGTCGGTATTTTTCTATAAATATACTCTCTTACTGATTTTGATTTGTTGAATTGTTGCAAGTTAAAAGTTATGTATTTAGATTTAGAAGTTATGTTTCTAGCTTCGTTAGTGATAACACTATGTTTTACTTTTCTTCATTGTAGAAGATCGAAGGCATCATAATCGACGATGGTTTTGGCAATGGAATGATTCTAGATGATATTGAGGTGGAAATACAAAAGCCAATTGTCCAGACCAAAAATAGTTGACAGGACAACAATGTTGAAGCAATGAAGAAAAAGAGAAAGTGTGGATCAGATTAAGGCGGCATTATTAAGAACTAGAAAGTTTTCTTTTTGGGATTAAATTTGACAGGACTTGATTTTTTTTATTATTGTACATATCTAATTATAATGTAGTTTTTATATAAAAAAATGTAATGTATTGAAATTCTATTATGTCACGGTTTTTCTTTTTTAAGTATGTATTTTCATAGCATAGAATTGATTTTTATGCAAGTCTTGCTCCTTTTTATGGTAAAAAAATTGTTTCTGCAAAAACTTATTTCTGCAAAATGTAGTTTGTTTTATTTTAGATGTTTTTCTGCAAAAAGTTATGAATTTTCACTTATTAGTTTCATATTTTAGATTAGAAGTTACAAACTATTATGAGTTCACTAATTCATAGGAAGCTATACATGTTTTAACCACAACACTCTTTTTCCATGCGATAAAATTATATAAAAGTAAAAAAGGTTTTCAAAAAACTTTTATCTTAAAATGTATAACTTCTAAGAGAAAACTGACGACACATTTACACATCTTAAGTAAAAATTGAACTACTAAATCCTTTCAATTAACTTTTCATTTTTTAAAAGTGTAAACTATTGATATCATTTTCATTGACATGTTTTAACAAACAGTTACTGGACATAATTTAAAATCCATATTTCTTATGAGAGCAAATAGAGATGGATGAAGAGTGGTAATATTTGATTCGTGAGGATGAATTTGCAGTAGCATTTCTCCTTACCAAACATGACTTCATGCTTACATTTAGATCTGAGTGGATAAGGAGAAGAGACCGGTGTTGACCGGTGTCACTGAGTGTGTAATTCCGGCGATCTTCATCTCCCATGTAGATTTTTCGCCGTTGATTGTCCACCGAGATGATGGTCTTTCTCAGCGGCTATTCATAGTAGGCGAAGTCGAGAACAACTCATCACCAGTATTCCATTCCGAACATGGACGAACAGAACAATCAACAAATCGAGTAATTTGATGAGATCGAAGAAGGAGATCAGGAGAATGTGTGAGAAGAGAGAGAGAAGAAGAGAATCGATCGGATGGGTAACATTTTTTTATTCAAAGTTGCCCATATATTAAAAAGGTACAAAGTTTGAATAATTTACAACAATTACCATTAATGATAGTAGCAACCTCTAATCTAATCGGACGGTGTGAAATGCTTCTCACTTTTCAGCTTAGCCCACACTTCTCATGGGATCTTTTCTATATATATATATACATATATACATACATACATACATATATATATATATATATATATATATATATATATGTGTGTGTGTGTGTGTGTGTGTGTGTGTGTGTGTATACTACTTCCGTCTCGTTAGAAGGTTCCCATAGCAAAACGGTACGGTTATTTAGACAATAATTAAATAAAGTACTTCGATCATATTTTGAGAAATAATTTTAATAGGAATATACTATAATGTAGTTAGTATTGATAACTGTGATGTTATAAATGTATTATTTTTAATATTTAATGATTAATTTGTCACTTAAGATTGTTAATTATTTCCTAAAATGGAAATGGGAACCTTTATATGGGACGCCCAAAAAAAGAAAGTGAGAACCTTCTAATGGGACGAAGGAGGTATATAGTAGTGTTCCGCTCAGGCCTTCCTGACCGGAACTGCCGTTCGGCCGACGGCTTTTGGGGCTCTTCCCGGTGACTTTTTTTGATGAAATTTTTATGGCATGTTCTTCATCAAGTCTAGTTTATCCACAAAAAATTCAGCTAAAAACTTAATCCGGAAGGTCGTGAAATGATTTTCTGAAGTTAACTGCGCAAAAAATACATATAAAACACAGTTAACTTCCAAAAATCATTTGACGACCTTCCCGATTGAGTTTTTAGCTGAATTTTTGTGTGGCAAATTAGACTTGATGAAGAACATACCATAAAAAAATCATCAAAAAATGCCACCGGGAAGGGCCCCAAAAGCCGTCGGCCGGACGGCGGTTCTGGTTCGGAATTCCGGACCTGAACATTTGTCTATATATATATATATATATAGGGAGCGGATCTGGTGAGAAGTGCTCTTAGTCTGAGAACTGCGAAGTTTAACTAATAGACTAAAAACACGAACTTTTAACCAAAAAATCATAACTTATAGACCCCGTCGAAAATAATTACGAAAATGCCACCGCAAAAACATAAGCCTGGAAACCTTGAAAATTTTTGGACGCGGTGGCATTTTCGTAATTATGATGGAGGGCTTTATAAGTTATGATTTTTTGGTTATAAGTTCCTATATTCAGTCTATAAGTTTACTGCGTTGCAAGATCACATGCAAATCCAAGGGCTGAGATTACTTCTCACTTCTCAGGAGCACTTCTCACCTGATCTTTTTTCTCTCTCTCTATACACACACACACATCTATATATATATATATATATATATATATATATGGGTTAGTTCCTGTGAGAACACCCTCTTAGGAGAGGAAAAAAGATTAAAATCCAACCATTGACTAACCTTTAATAATTCTAATCTGATGGCTTAGATGGATTCTGAAATAGAGTAATTTTCGGAGGGGATTGGGCTTTTAAAAATTTAACGTGCAACTATATACTAATTGAGGGACATAATGGTAAAGCTCACTTGAGATGTTGTCACGCATAAGGCATCAAAATAGGAAGCAATCCTAACAAATAGGATATTAATTAATGCGGAGTAATCTCCACCATAATTAGAATCATTTGTTTTGATATACTTTTCTCTTATTTAATATTGTTTCTGAATTCAAAGATCTCACGTAGGATCTTTTACTCTTCAAATGCAAGGTCTTTCCATTTGCACTCCAATGCTAAGTTGATGCACCTTTTCAACATTTTATGAATTCACATATATTTTATTTTTAGGTGCATGTACTATAATTAAACGTGCATTTTCATTGTAAACAGAAACATTGATATGTGCAATAATTGTAATTTAAAAGTGCAGTTTATTGTAATAGGAAGAATGTGATGTCGAGATGTTTTAAATATATTTATATGTTTATTATGCACTAAAATGAATCTCAAATGCACTTTATAGAACTAAATTAAGTACGTTGTCATTTTCTCATTAGATCAAATCCCCTTTTCGAATTCAACACTTTTTTTGTTAAAATGCACACTTCGAATATTGAAATTGCACATTTGATCTATTTGAAAATCATGATCTATAGTAAATAAAGATTTAAAACGAATTATATTAGTTTTTGCTTACTATATAAATTTCTTCACTTTATGCATTTCAATATGCACTTCCATACATTTTAAAACCAAAATAATTTAAAAAATGAAAATAAATAAACACACTTGTAAAAAAGTACACTAGTGTATCACAACTTTTCAAAATAAAATGCACTTTTAACATGTGCATTTAAAATAAATAAAAGTGCACTACTATACAACTATACTACTAAAGAGGTGCTACATATATAATCGAATTGTGTTAGTGCTATTTTTTAATAAAATATGGAGCATAGTAATTATTATAAAATGAAAATGGATTAGATAATCCTTGATAGTGACTTGTGGATGATGACTATGTTCTTCCCTCCAACACGTGGGTAGTGTAGCTTTCTTCTTTGCAATTTAGACAAAAAAGCTCTCTTCTCCAAGTCTGACAAATCAATTTCTTTGAATAGAAGAAACTACTTTTTCTCCTAAAATATGATATTTGTGGTTCTATTAATTACAAAATGAAAGAACTTAACATCTTTCAATTTCCGAGACCGGATCAAGAGCTACATTCGTGCAAGGAGATACGTTCGCACAAGGAGAAACGAACGAATATGGAGAAAAAATATCTTTGGAAAGAAACGGTTCTATAAGGAATCATGCAACGTAGCTTTAGGGATTGTACAAACGGTCAATTGAAATTGACTTCCTTACCCTTACAGAAGGTTTAGTCGCACAGATTATAATAATCTAATCCAATGGTTAAGATGTATTCTTTTTTACTCTCTTAAGATTAAGTTCTCACGTGAACCTAAATCTATATATATATATATATATATATATATATATATATATATATATATATATATATATATATATATATATATATATATATATATAGAGGGGAGTTCAAATGCAAAGTGCCTTTTATATGAAAAGTGAGAATTAATCCCAGCCACTAATCTAAACACCAATCTAAACATAGAATTAAGTTCGTATTTAACAAAAGGGGTTTTTCCGTCAATTTACGCTTTCAGTTATTTCGTTATTCCCCTGCGCACGTTCTCTGTTTCTTACGCACATCCTCTCTTCCCCTCTCTCCCCCAATTCATGATAATCGATCTTTCCAAAAATCGATTTCCAGATTTCCATAAAGCAGCATCAACGATTATTTGACATCTAAGTTTCGTGTTCATCGTCGTCTCGTTTGGTGTTCATCATCGTCGTCTCCATCGCAAGGGAAATATGGATCATGGTATGTATTATTTTCTTACAGTAATTTCCATAATTGTTATTTACATGCTTCGTATTATTTAGATTTTTTTATTTGTATCCATTCAAACCTAGCTATTGTGTTGTTTCTTATACTCTCCGGTTTTAGTTTGAATTATTAAACCTATAGCTGTTATTAATGCTGGACATATGTTTTATTCGAGTGTATTGCTATTGTATTAACGATTCAGTAATCAAAATATGTATTGTGCCTTATTTTTATGCATTTTAGGTATGTTGTTTTTTAGTTTATTCAGTTCGATCAATTGCTTTTAGTATGACTTTGATTTCAACTTTAGTTTATTAACACTAGTCAATATAATATTTCTTGATGTATTCATTACGAACCCATGTATATTGTACTGGTATTGTGAATATATGTTGTTATACTTACATATTTTGTTGCTACATTTTTTATTATATTTCACACGTTATATTCTAACATTCAGTTTGCTTTAATTCCTGTGTATTTTTCACTTTTTTCTATTCAGGTGGTGTTTGTAATTTTCAGATTTCTCCTGGCATGACCAAATACTGGATTCCTCAGTGTGATTTAGAAACAAAACCTATAATTGGCAAGTTCTTCAATAGCCTTGAAGATGCCATTTCATTTTATAAACAATATGCATCTTTATGTGGTTTTGCAATTCGTCTTGGTGCGGCTTCAAAGGCTAGAGATGGCACAGTTTTGTTGAAATATGTTGTTTGTAACCGTCAAGGGTTTAAGAATGACTCCACTTCTTTGAAAGATACCTGTAATGCTTCTTCTATAGACCCTTCCAGTGACAAATCTAGATTTGTTTGTTCTAAACCCCCTCCAAATGCTACATGTGAATCATC